GGGAGAGGACACGAGTTCTGGATGATCTGCAGCTTGTAGAGAGAAGAGTTGGGGAGGCCAACAAGGAGGGAGTTTCCATAGTCGGGCCTTGAGGTGATGAATGCGTGTATGAGGGTTTCAGCGGCCTGAGCGGTGAGACAGTGGCGGAATTGGACAATATTGCGGAGATGGGGGAAGGCAGAGCAGGTCATGGTATGTAGGGTAGGAAGGATAGTTGAGGGTCGAACAAGACTCCAAGGTTCCTGTCTGGCTCAGTGAGGTGGAGTGTGCATCCATCCTGAGGTGAGGAGGCGCTGACGGGAGCCAATCAGGAGCTTCGGTCTTGTTGACGTTCAACTGAAGAAAGTTCGCTCCCATCCAGGACTTGACCTCTGTCAGACATTCTGTCAGGACAGCAGTGGGACCTGGAGTCAAGGTGGAGGCAGAGAGGTAGATTAGGGTGTCATCCATGTCTGCTGATGACGTTATCAAGAGGGAACATGTACAGGTTGAAGCTGAGAGAACCGAGGACAGAGCCCTGAGGAACACTGAACAAGACAGTGTGTGGTCTGCAGGAGAAATTTATGAGACAAAGTGGAACCAGTGTGAGAGATAGGATAATAATAAATAATAATAATAATAATCCTTGCACTTGATATGCGCTTCTAGACGTCTCAAAGTGCTTCACAGAATATGTTGTAAAGTGAACTGACTGTATATTTGGCGAAACGCAGCAGCCAATTACACACAGCAATGTCCCACAGACAGTCGTGGTTTGAAAATGACCAATTTATTATTGTTTTTTGTTTTGGAGGATTATTATTAGGCTCTGTGTGGAGTAAGGAAACTGAACCATTCAAGAACAGAACCTTGAAGGTTGAGGTGAGAGGAGAGGTGGTGGTGGAGGAGGATAGAGTGGTCAAAGCGTCAAAGGCAGCAGAGGATGAGGAGACAAAGGGAGCACTGGTCACAGGTGGACAGAATGTCATTTGTCACTTTGCTCGGGGCTGTGGGCAGCACAAAAACCTGATTGGCGGTGTTTGTGAAGGTAGTGGTGGGAGAGGAAGGAGTGAAGTTGGGAAGGAACAACTCTTTCAAGGGCCTTGGAAAGGGGAGGTTGGAAATGAGGCGACAGTTAGTGAGCAGGGATGGGTCCAGGGAAGGCTTTTTTAGGATAGGAGTGATGACAGCTGTTTTGGGGGGCGCGGAAACGGTGCCAGTTGACAGGAAGAGGTTGTTGAGGTTGGAGTGTAAAGGGGTGAGGAGGTGGAGCTGTGAGGTAAGGAGAGTAGGGATGGAGTTGAGAGAGCAGGTGGTGGGTTTCATGCGGATTATAGTACTGGTGAGAGAGGAGGGGGATACAACAACAACAACAAAATTACATTAGTATAGCTCCTTTTACGTCGGGAGGACGTTCCAAGGTCGATGTAATGAAGGCGTGTATGAGGATCTCGATGTGAGACAGTGTCGGAGCCGGGCGAGGTTGCGAAGGTGGGGAAGGCAGAGCGGGTCATGGTGCAGATGTAGGATAGAAAGGACAGTTGAGGGTTGAACAGGACCCCAAGGTTCCACACTGGCTTAGCAAGGTGGAGTGAGCCCCATGGATGGTGACGCTGTCAGCGCCCGAGGTGAGGAGGCGCTGACGGGACAATCAGGAGCCTCAGTCTTGTTGACATTCAACTTAAGAAAGTTCGCTCTCATCCAGGACTTGGTCTGACAGACATTCTGTCAGGACAGCAGTGGTCCTGGAGTCAAGGGTGGAGGCAGAGAGGTAGAGTTGGGTGTCATCCGCATACACGTGGAAGTTTACGTCATGTCTGCAGATGATGTCACCAAGAGGGAGCATATAGATATTGAAGAGACATGTTCGAAGGTGTGGAGGGAGGGGTGGGTAGGGGCCGGAGTGTGAGGTATAGATGGGGAAGGAGTGGCAGTTGGGAGGGCGGAGGTGGCTGAACGGATCCCCTCGATTTTGGGGATACAAAACATCCTCACAGCAGCCCAGAGCAGTGAAGAGCAGAGTCTGACTGTGGCTTGTTTCTCTCTCTCTCTCTCTCTCTCTCTCTCGATTCTGGGTAAGAAGAATATTGCATTTGTTGTTTTTCAGAGAATGACTGATAAGTGTTTCCGGAAGTGTATTGGCAAACCAGGAAGCTCCCTGGACAACTCGGAACAGGTAAACATGTCTACTTTAGTTTCAATATATTTTACATTGGAGTCTTGAGAATTGTTCCTTATAACAGACACTTCATGAAAGTTCATTACTTTGATATAACCTTGAATTATGAAAACAATCAATTATATGGCCTTGGGCTGCCCTGCACATCCGTATCCATTAATCCTTAACACTTACACTAGTCACTAATCCTGTCCTTATCTCGTGTCATTCTCTTTCCCCGGGGGATCTGGAGTCGGAAGGTAGGAAGAATTTTCCCTTTCCCCACGTCTCCTTCCCCCCCCCAACCCCATGTTGGAGTATCCAAGACCAAATTGATTGTACACCCAGAGCGCTGCAGGACTGAAGTACAATGACATTTATACAGTGTATTGGGAGGACAGCTTTACACAGCCGGCTGGCACTCAAGCTGGATGGGGGAGGTGACCAAAAATGCAGTCATAGAGGTCTTGATGTAGGTTTTGAGGGGAGGGGAGAGTGCAAGGAATGGTGTTCCAGAGATTGGGGGCAGAATGGCTGAAAGCTTGGATACTGATGGTGAGGCGGAAAACCAGTCGGTTGGGTTGGATTGAGAAGGTCCCAGAGGGAATGGGGTGAGACTGTGGAGGGAATTAATGGTGAAAGTGAGGATATTGAATTGGAGCACTGCTGGCCAGGCTTCCTCACTCCAGCCTGGGGGTGATGGGCTTGTGGAGCCTGGGGTTGAGGGTGGGGGTGATGGGCTTGTGGAGCCTGGGGTTGAGGGTGGGGGTGATGGGCTTGTGGAGCCTGGGGTTGAGGGTGGGGGTGATGGGCTTGTGGAGCCTGGGGTTGAGGGTGGGGGTGATGGGCTTGTGGAGCCTGGGGTTGAGGGTGGGGGTGATGGGTTTGTGGAGCCTGAGGGGAGAGCATGTAAGCTGCAGTTTGTGAAAAGAGCTGGGGAGTCGGGGAAGCAGAGCGTTGGAATCGTCAGATCTGGATGTGTTTAAAGTGGCAGAAGTGAGCATGTTTTGGTGTCGCTCCTGTTCAGGTTTAATGTGCTGCACAGGGACTGGTCACTCGCAGGAAGTCAATCAGCCACTGTTTCCGTATAATCTTTCAATATCTTTCAGAAATGTGTGGCCATGTGTATGGATCGATATATGGACGCTTGGAACATCGTGTCAAAGACGTACAACTCTAGGCTTCAGAGGGAGCGAGCGCGCATGTAACTGCACCTGGACTGCTCTGTGCTGCTCCCTGTGGGAAGGCGGCTGCTGTCAAACTAGGAAAATGTAAAACAGAAATTCTGTCAAATCTCAGAGAAAAAGCTGTTACCCTAATGGCTTGTAACAAAATTATTATCTATGAATTTTATTATAATAAAACATATTGAGATGAAAAGAATTGTCATTGAACTTAATCACCTGCTGATTTGTATTGAGGAATGTGTTTGTTTTTTAGTTAGGAGTCCTGCAGTGTAGTGGTTAGAGCACTCGCCTCGCAAGTGCTGGGTTCAATTCCTGGCAGGCAAAACATTGCCTTTCCTTACTCCACACGCCTCTGTTTACCCAGCAGTAAGTAGGAACCCGGTTGTTAATGGATTGGTAGATCGCTTTCCGGGGGTAACAATCCCTTCAAAAAAATTATTTATTTACTCAATCCACGATTGTTTGTGGGACACTGCTGATCATAATTGGCTGCTACGTTTCGCCCACTAAACACACAGTGACTCCACTTTACAGTATATCCTGTGAAGCGCTTTGAGAAGTCTTGATGATGTGATAAGGCTCTATATCAAATGTAAGGATTATTATTAAATTGTTAAGCGAACTGAGCAAGTTTAGTCAGTATCAGGCATCAGTGAGCAGGGAGGAAGTGTTTGCTACAAGAGTGGGGTTTAGCCCCAGGTGGCTGCAAATGACCTATTCACATGTTTTACATGTAACAGTGTCAGCAAAAGGCGATGCTGGATTATTTCATTGTTATGTGCAACATTTGATGTAGAAAATTTAGGTGGTCTTTGGCAGTTATCAGCTCACAAAGATTTTGAAAACATTTTGATTTCTGAAAAAAAATCTTAATGTGCATATATTGAAGTTAAAATCACAAGGTTGTGGGCACAAGCCTCTGTCAGGACTTGAGCTTGTGTGTTTAGGCTGGCACTGTGAGATGCTGAGGAAGTACTGTATTTATTTGGAAGAGATGTTGAACTGAGGTCCTGTCGGCTTGTGAAGGTGAAAGTCACAGATCTCACGACTGCTTTAAAAGAGAAGGGAGTTTCTCTGTTTCCTGCCCCAAAAATCCACATCAAATTTGTAATTTGCTTCACACTTTTTAATGTATACAATAGGCTGTAATTTGCCTATAAATACACACTCTGATTTTGATTGCAATTCCCTGTAGAGTGTTTCTGAGATGTTTTAACAACAGGCTTTGTGTTAAGTGGAAGAATAGTTGTTATGTTTGAGGACAATTTAGAGTGAGCTGCACTTTGCAGGCACGTCTGTGTCTGGTGTAATGGCACAAAGTCCCACAAGTTGCTTTGTGTTGTCTTTATTTCTAAACAAATGGTGCAGGTGTTGGTGAAATGCTGATCTAAGAGAAAGAGTGCTCTTGTAATGTTAGTATAAAAGGTCACTTTGGGTCTGCGATAGGGAAGTTTCCCAGTCTTCCTGCGGTACAATAATTACTAAACAGTGGGTGGCGGATCTAGACAACCATTGCCTACCTCAATAAGCACAAGTCATTTCCTGAACAATTGATTGGATGTTGGAGAGGAATGTGGATAATCTGACCTGGGTGTGAGTCTAAACCTTTTAAGGTCAAGGAGATAATTTCTAGGATTTGATAGATCATTGCATTCTGTGGCTTTTTGCATTGGTGCCTGTTGTTTTCATTGTAGAGAATGGGATCCAGAATTCAATGTTCTGTCTGCCTGGGATGCAAATCTCAGCCACAATCTTTCACATGCGATGAATATTATCAAAGCTGTGAGCCTCAGCCACGTCACCATTTACAGGACCTCAGGTGCCGAACTCCTGCATCTGCTCAAGATTACATTTCTGATCTATTCAGAATGAAAGTAGGAATCAGCAGGTGTGAGCTTCAGAATCTATCACAGAGCCATGTAATGTTGATAAACTATTTCCAACTTTAACTGCACATGGCACTCATTGCTTATTTGATAGAAAATTTCTAGCAACAGATATTGATATCAATGGGTCTTAGCCTCACCATCATCTTCAGACGTCTCCAGGTGCCTCTTGAATCCACTGATAACTGCTCATCCTCTGGATATACCTTCATCATAATTTGTGTAATAAAGTTCTGCCAGATTTCTTACACACATTGTTTCCACATTTTCAATCTCTCAGTTGTTTCTTTGTGCTTTCACTTCTGTTTATTTGATAAATAAATGCAGCCTTTTTTTTGGTCAGCTGGGTGTCTGACACAGGCAGAAACCAATCACCACACTGACACGTATCCAAACCCAAGCTGAGTTCCACGTATCCCACTTACACATGGAAATCCCAGAGATAGATTGTTGGAATGGAATGTACACTCTCTCTCCCTGGAGGGACATATCCTGCTTGCCTAATTCCAGAGGATATTAGGATCAGGTTGGGCATGTGCCAAGATTTAGGATTAACAGGAGTTGAGTGAAAAGATTCCCTGCCCCCAGCAATGCCCTTCCAATTCCTGTCATCAGCAACACCCTGGAGTACTGCAGACCCAACTGGCTCTGGAACCAGGCCAGATACCACCACAGATAATAAAAATAATCCATTTGATATAACGGCTTATCACGTAGTTGAGACATCTCAAAGCTCTTCACAGAATATACTGTAAAATGAATTAACTATTTTGTTAGCAAAATGAAGTCAGTTGTGCACAGCAGTGTCCCATAATAGTCGTGGAAAATAATAATAATCCTTGTATTTGATATAGCACCTTGTCACAACTGTAAAGTGAATTAACTGTATATTTTGTGGGCAAAACATTGATTCAGTGACCACCGAACTAGTAATTGGGATCAGGAGGGCGGGAGGGTAGGAGTAGGAGTAGGAGGGTGACCGAAGACATGGTCGAAGAGGAGGGTCTTGAGACGGGTCTTGAAGGAGGCAAGAGGGGGCGAGGCAGAGGGACTGGGATGGAGTTCCAGAGGGTGGGGCCTGAGTAGCTGAAGGCCCACCTGCCAATGGTGGGGCAGGAAATGCGGGGTTCATGAAGCAGACCAGAGCCTGCTGAGCGGAGGGAGTGGATAGGTTGGTAGTGGGTTTGGATATCACAGAAGTAGGAAGGAGCAAGGCCGTGGAGGGCTTTGAAGGTGAGGACCATGATCTTGAACTGTATCCTCTGAGTCATGGGGAGCCAGTGGAGCTGGGCAAGGATAGGGGTCATAGGGTCGCGAAGCCTGGTGTGGGAGAGGACATGGGTTGCAAAGTTCTGGATGATCTGCAGCCTGTGGAGAGGAGTTGGGGAGACTCATAAACGGAGTTTGCATCGTCGAGCCTGGATGTGATGAATGCGGGAATGAGGGTGTTGGCAGCCGGCAGTCAGAGACATTGGCCAAGCTGGGGAAAGGCATAACGAGTCATGGCACCGATGTGGTGGATGAAGGACAGTTGGGGGTTGAACAGGATGCCGAGGTTCTGTATTGGCTCTGTGAGATGTAGAGTGCATCCATGAAGAGTGATGCGGTCAGCGCCTGAAGTATGGAGGCACTGAAGGGAGCCAATCAGGAGGGCCTCGGTCTTGTTGACGTTCAACTGGAGACAATTATCTCTCATCCAGGACTTGATGTCTGACAGGCAGTCTGTGAGGACAGCAGTGGAGGTAAGGATGGAGATGGAGGGTGACATCCGTATATTTCCGGTGGAAGTTAACCCCATGTCTACGGATGATGTCACCAAGTCAGAGCATGTAGATGTTGAAAAGGAGGGGACCAAGGACAGAGCCCTGAGGAACACCACATGTGACAGTGCGGGGGCTGGAGGAGAAGTCATTAGTGAAGTCAAAGTGCAGACGGAGGGAGAGGTAGGATTTGAACCAGGCAAGGGCAGGTCCGTGAAGATTGACCAAAGAGAATCATTGAACCATTCGGCCCCTCGTGTCTGTGCCAGCTCTTTGAAAAGAGCTTTCCAAATCAGTCCCACTCCCCCGCGCTCTTCCCATAGTCCTGCAAACCTATCCTCCCTAAATAATTATCTAGAGAGGAGAGACGGTGGAGGAAGATAGAATGATCGACAGGATCGAAGGCAAGGAGGACAAGGTGGCAGAGAGAGTCCTGGTCACAGATGGACAGAATTTCATTAGTGACTTTGAACAGTGCTGTTTGTGTGCTGTGCCAGAAGGTGGAGATGGGAGGTAAGGAGAGGGGTGGGGATGGGGTAGAGAAAGCAGGTGGTGGGCTTCATTTTTGAGATGATGGAGATGAGGGAAGAGGGGGTGACAAGGTTGAAGGTGTGTAGGGAAGGGTGGTAGTGGCCGGGGTGTGAGGCGGCGGTGGGGAGGGGCTAGCGGTAAACAGTGGAGAGGTACCTGAACAAATCCCCTCGATTTGGACTTGAGTAAGTCCAACATCTCCTCTCAGCTGGATTTAATAATAATAATAATAATCCTTGCATTTGATATAGCGCTTTTCACGTCGGGAGGACGTCCCAAAGCGCTTCACAGAATGTACTGTAAAGTGAATTGACTGTATATTTGTGGGCGAACGCAGCAGCCAATTGCGCACAGCAATGTCCCACAAACAGTCGTAGTTTGAAAATGACCAATTTATTATTGTTTTGTTTTGGAAGATTATTATTAGGCTCTGTGTGGAGTAAGGAAACTTGCCCAAGGTTTCCCTACCAGGAATTGAACTCAGGTCTCTCACTTGCAAAGCGAGTGCTCTAACCACTGAGCTACAGGAAGAGAGGATGGACGAGGCGTGGCAAGGGGGATGGAGGAAGTGGTAAGTAGTGGAGAAGCGGAACCTGGGGTTGTCCTTGGCCTCCAAGATTATCTTGGAGTATCTTGCGGTGGGCCTTGGTATGGTCCAGCCGATGGACTATTAGGTTTGATTTGGTCCAGGTGCATTCAGCAGCAGTACTTGTGCCTTGAGGGATCAGAAGTGTGCCAGGGGGATTTATGGGAGTAGGAGGTGGTTTGGGAGATGAGAGGAGCAAGAATGGGAGAGGGATTTGCGGAGAAGAGATTGAGGAGGGTGGGTTGTTGGGAGAGGAGAGCCAGAGGATTAGGAATTTGGATGATTCCGGGGTAACGGAGAGGGAGTGGGGGGAGATTTTTTTCCGAGGGTGGTAGGAGATAGAGGCGGGTTGAGTGGGAATGGGAATGTGGATAAGGGAGGAGAGGTTGACCCCCGGGATCAGGGACCAATGGGCCTTGCGGCAGAAGGG